TTGTGTAATACATTCGTTACGATATCTCTGTCCCACGTTATGCATAGTAAAGAAATTCATGATGCATTCTTGACGATATTACTTTACTTTCCCACCCAAGTAATGCATAATAATAAATAAATTAACAATGCAATGCATAATTCGAGTAGGTTAGGCGCGGCCGCCTTCCAGACTTATGCCATGAATCAAATAATGGCTGTAAAAGGTAAAAAAAACGAAAAAGATAAACGGTTCCATTGGACCCAACTTTAATCATTCGTCTCTCTCCCATGTCTTGCAATTAACTTCTTCCCGAGGTCAGACCAGCGCCGTGAGACCCGGCCACGCAATGACACCGGTTTACTCCATGTTCCAACGCAATGGCACCGGTTTACGCTACGACATTGGTTTTCATTGATGAAGAAACATGTTAAAAAGTTCTTTTTAATGTATATAACTTAGGAAGTCACCTATGTGTGTGTATATATCGCATCTCTCTCTCTCCCTCTCACCCCCGTATCATCAAACTTGAGTTCTTCTAAATGGCATCGGTTTACTCCACCCTCACTTACTGGCTCGTGAAGCACCCAAACATAGCAAATTTCACGTGGACCGAAGGCGAAACCCTAGGCTCCACCGTCTTCTTCGTCTCCGTCGTAGTCTCCGTTTACCTCACCGCCACATTCGTCCTCCGCTTCGCCATTGATTCACTCCCCTCGCTAGGTCCCCGCATTCTCAAACCAATCACGGCCGTCCACAGCCTCATCCTCTGCWTCCTCTCCCTCATCATGGCCGTCGGTTGCACTCTCTCCATAATCTCGGATCCTAAGGTGCGTTTCTTCCACGCCATTTGTTTCCCACTCGACGTGAAACCAACCGGACCGCTTTTCTTTTGGGCTCAAGTCTTCTACCTCTCCAAGTTCTACGAGTTCGTAGACACGATCCTCATCATACTCGGAAAATCGATCCAACGCCTCTCGTTTCTCCACGTGTACCACCACGCCACAGTTGTTGTCATGTGCTTCGTCTGGTTCCGAACACGACAATCGATGTTTCCGGTTGCTCTCGTCACAAACTCGACCGTCCACGTCGTAATGTACGGTTACTACTTCCTCTGCGCCGTCGGGAAGAGGCCCAAGTGGAAGAGGTTGGTGACGAATTTCCAGATAGTGCAGTTTCTTTTCGGCTTCGGACTGGGAGCTGTTTGGTTGCTCCCAGAGCACTATTTCGGGTCGGGTTGCTCAGGGATTTGGGGATGTTACTTCAACGCTGCCTTTAATACTTCTCTCTTGGCTCTCTTCTTCAACTTCCATTTCAAGAACTATGCCAACAAGACTGGAGATGTGGCCAAAAAAGGCAATTAGATCATTTTCGACAAGAACACAAGATAAAAAATTATTGTCTTGAATTTGTTGATTATTCTGGAAAATGTTTGAAATTGTTTTAATGAATAAGATATCATGAAATGTCCCCATCATCTGGTTCTTAGATATCAAAATGTGTCACATTAATCATGAAATGTCTCCATCAAGATATCAAAATGTCACATTAATCATGAAATTATTTTTATGAGTAAGATATCATAATGTGTCGCATTAACCGAGATCAGTCTATTATAATACACCAAGTCTGTGATTAGTCAAACTATAATATTTTTAGTAAGGATTTTCACTTGTTTAGAAAGATCTTCCTAAACAAGTAGGAAACCTTCATAATAATAAGTTTATGAAGGATTTTCACTTGTTTAGGAAGACCTTCTTAAACGTCTTCCTAAACAAGTAGTAACCTTCTTAAAAATAAGTTTAGGAAAGATTTTCATTTGTTTAGGAAGACCTTCCTAAACGTCTTCTTAAACAAGTAGGAAACCTTCTTGAAAAAAGTTTAGGAAGAAGTTTCACTTATTTAGGAATGTCTTACTAAACAAGTAGAAAACATTTTTAAAAATAAGTTTAGGAAGCATTTTCACTTGTTTAAGAAGTCCTTCTTAAACAAGTAAGAAACCTTCTTAAAAAAAAGTTTATGAAGGATTTTCACTTGTTCATGAAGATTTTCCTAAACAAGTAGGAAACCTTGTTAAAAATAAGTTTATGAAGGATTTTCAGTTGTTCAGGAAAGCCTTCCTAAACAACTAAGAAACCTTCTTAAAAAAAAGTTTATGAAAGATTTTCACTTATTTAGGAAGGTCTTCCTAAACACTTTCCTAAACAAGTAGGAAACCTTCCTAAAAATAAGTTTAGGAAGGATTTTCACTTGTTTAGGAAGTCCTTCCTAAACACATTCCTAAACAAGTAGGAAACCTTCCTAAAAAAAAAATTAGGAAAAATTTTCACTTGTTTAGGAAAGCCTTCCTAAAAAGCTTCCTAAATAAGTAGAAAACTTTCTTAAAAATAATTTTAGGAAAAATTTTCATTTGTCTAAGAAGGACTTTCTAAACACCTTCCCAAACTCCTATAACTAGAATATTTTCTTTATAAGTCTGTTAAATATGGTGACGAAAAGTTTAATTAATCTAGTAATTTTATATTTATAATTGGCAAATCAACCAATTTTTTTAGATATAACATAATATTTGATTTGAATTGAATTGAAATTAATTGTTTATCTTATTTGTATTGTATGAAAATATGAATTAATGCTCAATCATTTTAATGTTTATAGTTACTATTTGAAA